CCCCCTCTTCGCCAGACTGGAGCCGTGATCAGCAGTATTGATCGAGATGGCGTATGTGACAGACAGCCAGCACAGCTGATTTATTCTCCATCGAACAGTCCCGCCTTCTTGGCGACCAGTCCCCAACGAACTCGGGTGGCCAATGCCGTAAGAAAAACCACAGACACCAGGCCTTTTCATGATTCAACCATTGCCACCTAGTAGCCTGTTAGGGACGACACTCCCATCATCCGCCTGACTTTAGTACCTCATACTATCTGACGTGGTAGCCTCGAGCTGAAAGGGTCTGGAAACTGAGCTGTACTAAACTATCCGTACAGACATACAACGCAACATAGCGACGAGACGTTGGGCTAGTTCGCCGATGATAGCTCGGAAGTCCCCTCCCCTGCACATGGGAGGTGCACAGATGCATTCCCCGACATTAGTTGAATGCAACCTTGCCAATCGCCAATGACACTTAGATCCTGAAGCATAGAGCTTCATCTCTTGTTCTCCAACTTCTCTCAGATGGAAATGTAATCCCATCTCCAAGGATTCGTACGCGGGATGGTATACTACAGCTTAGATATTAGTTTTCATTCTGCAGGCTTCCAGCGGCTTAACCTACAACCCATGTGGTGAAACTAATTGCGGAGACGAGGGGACCTCTCCGACATCGCTATCCTAGACCGCCAGAGCCTGACCGCCAGGGAACCCCCTCTGTCTTTGTCGGTTCATCTCATTTCTCTATGCAAATGAACGCAAAGCTATCAGATAATCAGACGTTTCTCTCCCCTGCTGTTCGCGGTCCAACCGCACTCAGTCATGGGGCGGGCACAACCATCGAGATAGCGGGACAGGGTTCAGAGAGGACCACCTTGAGGTTGCGCACCCACCAGGAAATGAGGTGTCGTTTACTTCCAGGGCACCAAACATCCTTAATTTTGACCCAGGAGATTTTGGTGAGAGTTTTTTTCTTCTCTGCCCCGCGGCCCTCTTTTTACCACTGCCGGCGAACCGCGGGCCTTGCGGCACATCATGTCAGCGTTCAGACCGTCCGTCTCCGGGGAAGACGGCATCTCCATTATGGATCCCAAGATCTGAAGACCCGGCCGCTGCTAGAGCTCAAGGCTATCACCAGATTGCGGATACCAACATCGGCTCATCTCCATCCCATCCCGGGCAAGCTAATGCCGCACAAGAGATTTAGTGACTAGCGCCGCTTGCTTGCTTGTTGGGCTGCGCATCCTTCAAAGCAAATCTGGGAGAAGAGCGCCAGCTCTGTCTTGAACCGCCAGCCGTAAACAAAGCCGGTTGACGGCCTCGTTTGCCAGAACGAGAGAAGCAGAACACCAAGCCTTCTGTCTGGATTTTACCGTCCAAAGTGCATCCGGTTGGCTGAGAACCACTTGGATCGCCAAAACACTTCGACGCAAGCCGAAACATGTTGTTTGACGATGGGCTGCGGCCAATTTTTGCGACCTGGTCGTTCAGCGCCCGGGAGTTAAAGTTGCGCTACCCTAATACCGCTTTAAGCGCCTGGCATGATAGAGCCCCTCCATCTCCCCTCTGCTCACATCGTCGACAGCAGAACCCTGACGTCAAGCCAACGGCGGTTTCACGACAGCGTCAAACACGATGGGATTGCTTCCTTTGACGCATCATGGTGGCGGGAATATCACTAATGACTATTTCTTTTGAGATGCTGACGAAGTCTCAATGAAGGAGTCAGATCCAAGGGGTCGAATGCCGCAGGATCTGAACACGGGGTTCACAATCTAGTCCACTGTCTTAGACAAGAAGGCAACACCCAGGTTGAGGATGCCGAACGCTTTAACGATGGAGGACCATCCAGCAAGTGCAGTTTTAGCAATGGTTCCTCGATGTGGCAAATACATAACACTCAGTCATGCTTAGACACTGTACGACGACATTGCCGCGGTTCTTGGATCGGATGGCCTCGCACTCTGAGTCTCAGATCGGACAACTCTGGGGGAGAATACATGGCCGGCTGCTACTATGAATTGTACGACTCTCCCCGGACGAGAGCATGAGTCTCTGTTGGTCTCTGCCGGTAAGTGGCATCAAGGCTCTAGACTGAGTAGAGATGTTGGATTCGCCTGCATGGCTTCTCATGGTGGCATCGGACTCATCACCCCCGGCCCAATGTCTCAGATAGAGTGATTCAAGAATCATGGGACACACATCCTACCCAGCTGGTCCTCTTCATTGTCCCTCCTCCGGGCAATTGTACCCGAACGGCCTTTCTAGAACCTGTAAAACCTTTCGCGTGCTCTCCTTGAATAACCAAATAAGCCGCTACGGTTGTTCGATTTCTTTCCACGGCATCTTTAGGTCGGGCCATCTTCGTGGGTGTGATGCCTGGGCCGCCGTCGCGCAGGAAAAGAATAGCCCGTCAGCTTTCTATATGTCCATCTCCATCGTTTCTTACTACATCTGTTCGCCTACATCGTTTGACACACAACACAACGTCCTGCCCGCCTAGAAGCGCCTTTATGCTTCTTTTGTGGCTTTTGTAGTTTTTGCCTCTCTGGAGAGGTAGTCTGCGTGAAGCAGAAGGTCTTTTTAGGAAGTTGGGCTAGGGTTCGATCCCCGTTGGTGTCACCATCTCTCGACTGGTGTTTTGCCGGACAAAATTTGCTTTCATTTTAATACTTATGAATGGACAACACAATTCAAAATGTCTTCAATAATGGAGAGAAGATATGTCGAAAAAAGGGAACGTCAAAAACTGAGGTTCGAACCGGCATAAATAATGCTACAGCGAGACGCCAGGCATCTGTAGACTTTAAATGGCAGGTTCGCGTCAGTGAAGGAGAAGCCGCACTCGTAACCTTTCGGCCAAAGTGTACTTTCTCGCCCACCCCGACAGTACGCTCCAACTTGGCGGGCTATAGAGGACTCCGCGGAATACGTGGACTGCGTGTGGCCACCTTGGGTTGAGGACAACAAGGTTACGAAGGTTTGGGGGACCACAAAGGTGTTCTATGTCTCGTCAAAGGTGGTGAATCAGAGGTGGTGGCGATCTTGTCCTGTGTGAAGCCTTGCGTCGGAAGCATATTGTGCTCTCTGAGATACACCGGCTTGTCTTGCCTAAAGGAGTGATTTCTTGCCTGACTGCAGCGCAGGTTACGAGCATTATCAAGTCGTAGCCAGCTTCGCTGGGAACATGGACATCACCATGCTCGCTGCCCAACTAATCTCACATCGCATCTGTGACGGAGCTGGAGTGGCTGCTCACATCTCAGTTAGTAGAAGATCCCACTCACCCCCAGAAGTATTACCAAAATGTGACTGAAGTGAATACTAGATGTCATCTTTAGAGAATATGTCATGATCTTTTTCACCTCGTCATTCCTGCAGAAGGCGTAACCGAACTGGCTCCCGCCCCATCTCACGCTGACCCTTTATGTCCCGGCTACCCGCTGACAGCTGGATACTGCAGTGTCTGACAGCTCAGACAAGAGCTTACGCTTACCTTGTTTTACTTTACGATCCTAGTGCTCGTGGAAGCAACCTGGGCATCAATTGTAACGTCACGTGTCTTTACGAGATATGGGCAGGGCAGAGAGAAACAATTTGAAGAGGCTCTTGTGAGTCTAGATTGTTGAAGGTCTCCTTGTCAAGTACACGTGGGCTAAAGTATGGCGGTAGTTGAGCTAGATGAAGGCGCCCAGCTTCTATGGGTGTACTGGAATCAGCCTCGGCTTCCCTCTTTCCTGTGAGAGACATCTCAGATTAGCGGGGTTTATGTAGATTGATTTGTCTTACGAATGGTAAGATGGGACACAGAGGCTTTGAATAGTAGTGGCGGGGCGAGAGGCGCGAGACTGTCTTGGGGTGGCGATCTGTGCTACGATTAGTAGTGATGGGACGGCGAGAGGTAGCGAATATGAGAGAGTGGGAGGTTGTAAGAAGGTTCGCATGGTTTCGGATGCTGGCGGCTTACTACTTCCTTTGCTGTGACATCTCGGGCAAATGCCTCTACTCGTTGTGGACAGGGGAGAATCGTATTTCCAATAGGGGACGGAGTGTTATTGACGATGCTGTGCCTTCCTGTCAGTGGTGTTGCTTGTCGATTATCTGCTACAGCATATCGTGATCACTCGAGATTGAACATGATTGCTTCAATCGAGAGATTGGCGACAAAAGCCAAAATGGTCTTGCCAAAGATACCTTTCTAGCGAGACGGGCTCGTAGTTAAGTTATGCATCACCTAGGATACCCGAAAGCCATCAGCAACCCGGAGAGCTGAGCAAGGTAGAATTACGTGAACGCACTGTATATTCATCCGGTCTACACCCAATACACCCACGAGAGTGAAGCCAAAGCTATATACCCCCCCTCAACTCCGTTCTCGTTACCAGCCAGCAGGCGCCCGTCTAGGTCGACGGGTCAGGTCAAACTGGCTGGGTGGTGGAGTGGTTCAAGGTCGACAATCAAATTACGCCCACAGCCTACTCGACGACAGGCTACGAGTTCGAGTTCGATTCCCAGCAAGTGCGCCAGAGATGTAGCCCCCAGTTCAGCACCGGGGGGGTGAACTCTTTTGCTGCTTTGATTGGCTTTTACTATAAGAGGTGCTGAGGGTAACCTGGAGAAGTGAAGACCTCTGTGACAATATGAGGTTAACCGCTTCCATCTAGTAAAAGATCGTCCATATGCCTGCCAGAGCCCTATGGCGAATTTAAAACAGTCGTGATGGTCTATACGTCTCAGCACTCTCTCCATCAATAACCAACAGGCGCACCCGACTGAAGCGGCATCAGACATTAGAACAAGTAAAGCAGATCTGCATTGGGTCGAAAGATGTTAAGAAAAAAAAAGTGAAGCCATTGGTGTGATCCCAACTCTGATTGATGACATATGTACACAGCGTTTTCTATCGCCTAGTTCCAAGTCCTACATCTTCAACACAAAGCCCTCGATTGCCCTCCGCGCGCTCACGCGGAAGAAGTCGCTAAACCCCCATATCGCCGTCTGCTCTTGCTACACCTCTACGATGCTTGTTGCTTTGACGGGGGGATAAAGGGCTTGCCCTCGAGGGTGTTGATGGCTTGGTCGGCGTAGATCATGTGGTGGCGGAGCTCGACGGGGGTGACGCCAGGGCGCTGGTCGGGGATGTTCTTCTCGAGTTTCTAGTGACATAGTGTGTTAGCTGCGAGTCTGATGTTTCCATCTGAGGCAGTAGGGAGTGTTCAGATCGTTCCCTTCGTCGTGCTGGAACGGATGCGCGGGATGGTGACGTACTAGGTTCTCGTAGACACACTTGTTGAGCTTCCACTCGGCTGGTCGGCACTGGTAGAGCTGGTGGTTACGGTTCTCGATGCAGGTCCAGTGGGCCTTGAACTGCTCGAGGCAGTGGGTGTTGATATCCTTCAGCCTATGTAGTGTCGTTCCCATGTTAGCAATTCGATATCCCTATCAAATAACACCTGCTCTCGGGACCCATTGTCTGCGACATTTGGGCAAAATTGAGCGGCAGCCCGTCGGCAACATGACAACGAGGCTCGCTACAATAGCAATGGATTCAACATACACGCTGGAGGCGCATCTGGTGACCCGACGACCCTCCTTCAAACAATCAAATTCGCCGCGGCCCGCGCTGTCCGTCTTGCACTGCATGAAGTCGTCATTGTATTCGCGGCAACGGGCGCCGATGAAGTAGGACGCCGACAGAAGAGGCGCGGAGCTGGCACCAATCTCCTTGACCTTGGGGATATCGTCGGGCAGAGGGGTCGTGTCGACCTGGAACTGCTGGTTGAACCTGGCGCTGGGTGTTAGCCTCTCTCTAAAGCTCTCTGTATCGCGATCGGCCCGGGGTCTTCTTCGGCGGTGGTTTCGCTCAATTGGCCTGCCTATTCGGCCTGGAAGGGGGATGGAGAACGTACTGAGGCCGTCGGTTAGCCATGGCTGCGATTGTTGTGATGGGACCTAGGAGGAGGGCGGAAGGGAGTGGTCGAATCGGCGGTTCGGATGGTCTCCAGAGCAAGCTTTCCGGGCAATGGACGCTACCACGAATTGATGTGAGGTCGATTTAGGAGACGCCTGATTGGATCGGTTGGGGGCGAGGCTGAAGTGGAACTAGTGTGGCTGGGGTATGGCCTATTTGCAAGGTGGCTCGGTCTGGGAAAGTGTGGCGCCCGGTGAAGGCTACAGCAGCAGCAAGCTCCGATTTATTATTTTCGCGTTGCTGGGCTCGGTCCTCGTCTCCCAAGGGTAGCTCTGAACAGCCTTGCGACTGATACCCAGCGAGCCATCTCCGCCAACGCCTGAGAGAGAAAAAAGCGGTCGACCGCCTTCTTCGCGCCCTGGCTGCTCCTGGAAGTTTCTCTTTGTTTTGATACCCGCCAGTCCCTCACCTCAATTCCTTCATCGATTTTACGCTGAGCTTCTTGGCTTATTGCTTGCATTTCGCTGCAACTTCGCGCACCAATCGTCGTTATCCGACGACACACGCGACGGGCCTACGCTTCGCTTCGAACACCATCGACAAAATCCTTAACGCTCATTCCACACCATGAGTTTGTTCGGCGCACCAAAGCCCGCTGGGCAGACTGGAGGTCTCTTTGGGGGAGGTAGTTTCGGCGGCAGCACATTAGGACAGTCAACACAGCAGCAGCCGCAACAGCAACAACAGCAGCAGCAATCCGGCATGAGCTTGTTCGGAGGACAGAACCAGAACCAGACCCAGGGAGGCGCATTCGGCAACTCCATGGCTCAGTCTCAGCAGCCGCAGCAACAACAGCAGCAACAGCAGCAGCAACAACAAATGCCCAGCCTGTCGCAATCGCAAGCACAGCTCTCGAGCTCACTCTGGCAACCCGGAAGGGATACGCCTCGTACGTTCCTGTGCTCGTTCGGTAGCTTATTACGTTTGGATCAATGCTAACTTGTATACTGCAGAGAACCAAAAGCCCATTCCCGAACAAATGTCCCTCATCTTCGAGAAGTGGAACCCCACGAACCCCAACTGCGCGTTCAAGCACTACTTCTACAACAAAGTCGACGAAGCCTCCGTCCCCTTCTACAAGCCTGGCCCACACGAAGACCCGAGAGACTGGGAGGAGGCGCTGCAGAAGAAACCCGCGCCGGGCTACATCCCGGTTCTCTGCACAGGCTTCTCTGGCGTCGCGGCCCGCCTCCAGACGCAGAAAAAGGTAGTGGGGGAACTCAACGTGCGCCTGCACCAGATCAACGCCAGCCTTGACGCCATCCTCTCGCGGCACGACCTCGAGACCAGTGTGCGTGCCCTTGCGGCCCGTCGCCGTCACGTCGTCCTTCGCGAGCGGTGTCTCGCGCTGGCTGCCCGCGTGCAAGTGCTGCGCAACCGCGGATACGCTCTGAGTGGTGACGAGGATGATTTGCGACTCAAGCTGGCGGAGCTGGAGCGCAACGTGCAGGATCCTGCTCTGGCGGCGAGAGAGGAGGAGCTCTGGAGCCGGTTGATCGTGCTCAGAGACTACGCGGATCAGCTGATGAAGGAGACGAATAAGCCTGCTTTTGCGAGCGGCGAGGGTTTGAGCGAGGAGACTGAGCACAAGACGAAGAAGGTATGGTTTTGTAGTCCGGCAGATCATTTGATTCTGGTCGCTAACAGTGATTATAGGTCTTGGAAGATTATGAGAAACAAATCCAGCATCTCAAGAAGGAAGTCGAGTCCATTACAAAAGACTTTGCGGACTGGGAGAAAGAGCGGAACCCGAGCTAGAGTATCTAGGTCGTTTGGGATGAAGGCTATTACCAGGTGTGTCATAATAGAGGACGGCGCGAGCGGACGCTTTTATGTACGGAATGAACGCAAAAGGGAGATGGCCTACTAGCCGCATCAAGAAAAAGGACTGAGAGAGGGTATTCCCTCTAACAACGAAAGCAGCGAAGGAAAGCTTTGAACAAAAGTCGTGATTTCTTTTAACCCTGATTCCGATGTGATCTATACCCATAGTCCATCCAACCAGTCGTCGTCTACACTGTACAGATGATATTTATGTTACAAGAGGGATAATTATTCCCATTACACATCCCTGAGGCGGGTTGGTGGCTGGCAGCGCTTCATTAGTGCCGCAACCAGATTGCTCGTAGAGAGCACCCCCTCGCGGTTCTTGTTTTATTGTCGTGATCCTGAACTATGGCAAGCTCATCGATTTGTCGTTGGTGAAAGGCAAGTCCTTTACAGGACCTTGGAGGCGGCATCAATGACAAAAGGGGCTGGACAAGGAGTCTCTCGTTAGCATCTACTCTTAGATCTATTTGCATGTACAGGAAGAGAAAGGTTTGCGCTTACAGAGGTACAGAAGGACGGCAGAGACGACGACCTGCTGGATGGAGAAGTTGGCCTCGGCCTCCATCTGCTTGATCTCCTCCTCAGAAAGCTGGGGGGGCGCGACTGCAGGGAAAGATGGTCAGCGTTGCTTTCGGTGCAATTCGGCTCGCATAAGGTAGATATGGAACGTACATCCTCCGAACATCTTGTTGGTAGCTTAGTAGTATTGACTTGAAGGAAGTGGATAGGCGTGGGCGAGGGTGCAAGATGGACGGTTCGTTCGTGATCGGGATTTCGCGTCGGTGCCAGGTACAGCGATGATGTCGTCGCAAAAATTTAGAGAAGCTCCATCGTTCAAGCTCCGTCCCGGCCGGTACGTACCTAGAGCCTCAAAGTTGAGGTCTCCACAGGCGCATGCTTAGATACTCACTCTCCTTACCTAATCGGGTTTGCACATGCACAAAAGCAAGGTCGCTTAGGTAAGGCGGCTGGTGAGCATAAGTTTATGAAAAGAGACAGGACCAGGAAACGTTTCTTGGTGGCAGGTCTGTGGTGGTGGTATACTCGGCTCTCTGACCGAGCACTCGGTTTCTCATCCGCGCACCTCCAACCCTCCAAACCAAACGACCGCTTGGGAATACACTGCGCGAACGAGAGCCCCAGAACCTAGTCTCCCGCCCGCCACCCTTCACGACCTGTCATTGGCCTTCACATCCGTTTCTGGACGTAATGGCGGCGGCTCATGGATGGCTCGCCGAGCAGTTTGCCCAACGCGCCGGGGCCCCAAAGTCAGGGAATGGCTGGGGAACTGGAGCCCACCTACAGGCTACGGATCATAATCCAACTGGCACCCATCATCAAGCTTCCCTATCGTTTTGACCGCGCTTATCAGCGAGCGCCGCTGCGCGCCCGATAAGGCCAAGTCTCACCTCCCACCCTCACCTCTCAGGGTGTTGGTGCGCGGTTCCCAGGGATCCCGTAACCAACCGAAAGAGTTGGTGTTTGGCGTCGGGTGTTTAGGGTGTCCGTTGCGGCGGCGAACGAGCGGGCGGTCCAGTATGCAGACACAGTAGTCTGTATCTCACTCTGTAATTCGTAGGGAGATCTACTTGTGCATACCCAACCTTACTATGCTACTATGAAGGTAGGTAGGTATACGACTCAGGAACGGCATCCCTGGCCACGTCTGGTGGCCTGGTATCCGTACCTTTGGTGTTTTGACTATGTAGTACGTACCGCTGTCTCGATAAGTAGCCGTTGCCGCAAAAAGAAAGAAACGAAAGGGCGGATGGCTGCCGGTCTTCGAGCTCGCCCTCACCGACTCCTTCATATTTGAAGAGCATTCCGGAAGCTGTTCTGTTGTATACGTTTACTTTGGCTTCTATTTATTCTCCCCTAACAATCATCCCATCTGCTTAACAGAAACCTCTTTCGCGTCAAGACCTGGATTCAGGTGTTTTGAAACGGTTTTTGGGCTGCGTGCGAGAGCTTGGTCGCTTTTATCCCGAGTCGCATCTCGGATCGCACGTTGGTGGCGACAAGGGTGTTACTTCTCGAGCTACAACGATATCGGCCCCAGATCCGAGCAATACTTCTATTCGCACGACTCTCTCAACCACAACACCTGCCCTTCTTCTCTTTCTCTCTTCTTTTCTATTCTTCTTCAAGACACACCTCCGACATTGTAGAGTCTCACTGGCATCTTCATCTTCTTTGTGTGAATTGCCACTCTACTCACTTCACACAATGGCATCACTGAGATTGCCCCTCCCCCGCCAGCTTCGGCTGGCTGCCCCGAGGTCAAGGATTGCCGCCCGCCAGACACCTGCTTCCTCGTGGGTTTGCAACTCATGTGTGTCAAGCTCGGCATCGTCCTCGCGGATTCCCCGTGTGAGGGCATTCAGCGCCTTTGCAGCTCTTCAGAATGCCACCAGTGCAAAGATTGGCTCAGTCGATCCCTCCCTTGAGCCGCTGCAGAGGCCCGAGTCCTTTATTCCCCGACACATCGGACCTGATGTTACCGATGCTGAGGCCATGCTGAAGGCGCTCGACCCTCCGGCAAAGTCAATTGACGAGTTTATTGCCCAGGTTGTCCCTCCGGATGTCATCTCCGAGAGGAAGACATTTGGTGCTTGGGACAATGAGGGCCCCCTCGATGAGAGCAAAGTTCTGGCGAGAGCCACTGCTTGGGCCAAGGCCAACGAGGCGGCTCCGAAGCCTCTTATCGGTGCTGGATACAACCCCAGCGTCACGCCTCGTGTAATTCAGACCAACGTCCTCGAGAGCCCTGCTTGGTACACCAGTTACACCCCCTACCAACCCGAAATCAGCCAGGGCCGCCTTGAGTCGCTTCTTAACTACCAGACCATGGTGTCCGATTTGACCGGGCTCCCCATTGCCAACGCCAGTCTGTTGGATGAGGGTACGGCCGCCGCTGAGGCCATGACTCTCTCCATGAACGCTCTTTCATCATCCCGGGCCAAGAGACCCGGCAAGACCTTTGTTGTCTCACACCTCGTTCACCCTCAGTCTATTTCAGTCATCCAGAGCAGAGCTCAGGGATTTGGCATCAAGGTCGAGGTTATCGACGTCAACGCAGCGGATTCTGCAGAGAAGATCAAGGCACTGGGACAGGACTTGGTTGGTGTCATGGTCCAGTACCCTGACACCCAGGGCAAGGTTGAGGACTTCAAGGGACTCTCCGAGCTTGTTCATGAGCAGGGTGCCCTCCTCAGTGCCGCCACCGACCTGCTTGCCCTGACGGTTCTCACGCCACCCGGCGAGTGGGGTGCTGACATTGCCTTTGGCAGTGCCCAGCGCTTCGGTGTTCCTCTCGGCTTCGGTGGACCCCACGCCGCCTTCTTTGCCGTAAAGGAGGCCCACAAGCGCCGCATGCCCGGTCGCTTGGTCGGTGTCTCCAAGGACCGAAACGGCAACCGTGCCTTGAGACTGGCTCTGCAGACCCGTGAGCAGCACATCCGTCGTGAGAAGGCAACCAGCAACGTCTGCACTGCTCAGGCTCTTTTGGCCAACATGGCTGCCCTGTTTGCCGTTTACCACGGACCCGAGGGCCTGAAGGAGATTGCCTCGAGATTGGTTCGTCTTGCCCGTGGAGTCCAGGCCGTTGCCGAGGCCTCGGGTCTGGAGACCGAGCAGAGCGGCGCCAGCCCTGATGGCAAGGTTCTGTTCGACACCGTCGTCATCAAGGCCAGTGACCGTTCTCAGAAGATCCTGGCCGAGGCCAAGAAGGCTGGTCTGGGCTTCCGCGATTTTGGAAACGGTGATATTGGCATCAGCGTCAACGAGCACGTCACTGAGGAGGTGTTCAAGTCCATTGCCGCCGCCCTCGGCAGCGCTACCGGTACCCAGACCGCAGAGGTCGCGAACAAGGCCTACGGTGCTCTCACCCAGGACATCACCGAGCTCCTTCCCGCTACTCTTCGCCGCCAATCCGCGTACCTCACTCACCCCGTCTTCAACACTCACCGCAGTGAGACCGAGATCCTCCGTTACATTCACTACCTCCAGTCCAAGGATCTGTCTCTTGTTCACTCCATGATCCCTCTCGGATCCTGTACCATGAAGTTGAACGGCGCGACGGAGATGGCTCTGATCACCCTCCCCGGATTTTCCACCATCCACCCTCACACGCCCGCAAGCGAGCTCCCGGGCTACACTGCCCTGATTGAGAGTCTCTCTGACCAGCTGAAGGGTATCACATCCATGGATGCTGTCTCTCTGCAGCCCAACTCTGGCGCTCAGGGTGAGTTTGCCGGTCTCCAGGCCATCCGCAAGCATCTCCTCTCCCAGCCCGGTGGTCAGAAGCGTGACATTTGCTTGATTCCCGTTTCCGCCCACGGCACCAACCCTGCATCCGCTGCCATGGCCGGCATGCGTGTCGTCCCCATCAAGTGCGACCAGAAGACCGGTAACCTTGACATCGAGGACTTGGAGGCTAAGTGCAAGAAGCACGCCGAGGAGTTGGGTGCCTTCATGGTCACCTACCCTAGCACCTACGGTGTCTACGAGCCCGCTGTGAAGAAGGCTTGTGAGCTCGTCCACAAGTACGGCGGTCAGGTCTACATGGACGGTGCCAACATGAACGCCCAGATCGGTATCGCCTCGCCCGGCGAGATCGGCGCCGACGTCTGTCATCTCAACCTCCACAAGACCTTCTGCATTCCCCACGGCGGTGGTGGCCCCGGTGTCGGACCCATCTGCGTCAAGGAGCACCTCGCTCCCTTCCTGCCCGGTCTCGCCCACGACGCCGACCAGGCCATGGTTTCCAGCGCCCCCTTTGGCAGCGCCGGTATCCTTCCCATCAGCTGGGCTTACAACGCACTGATGGGCAACGACGGTCTCCGTCTCGCCACCAAGACCGCCATCCTCAACGCCAACTACATCCTCGCCCGCCTCAAGCCTCATTACAAGATCCTCTACACCAACGA